AATGGTATTTGTTGTCAAAGCAACGTACGGAAGTTTAGTAATGTAGTTTAGGAAATTATGGATGTACTTAGCTTATGTGTGAAAGCTTTTTTTTAGAAGTGTAAATAATGATAAATAAAATTATTTTTTAAAAAGTAAAAGTACAAGAGCCCTCTTCAGTTTTCAAACTGGCCGGCCTAAATTAAAATATTTATACAGGCTGAGTCTCCTTTACCCAAAATACTTGGGACCAGAAATGTTTTGGAATTCTGACTTTTTCAGATTTTGGAATATTTGCTTATACATAACGGATATACATCATGGAGATGGGACCCAAGCCTAAACACAAAATTCAATGATGTTTCATGTACCACTTTATACACACAGCCGGAAGTCATTTTATACTACATTTCCAAATAGTTTTGTGCATGAAACAAAGTTTGTATATACTGAGCTGTTAGAATGCAAAGGTGTCACTGTCTTAGCTACCCATGAAAAACATTTTGGGTTCTGGAATATTTCAGATTTACGGATTAGTGAGACTCAGCCGCTACATATTCCGCTATTCCAAAGAAGGTTGCCAGAGTGAAAACTGGAGAGCGCTCATATCTCTAGGGGTTGTGTAGAAGAAGGAATTGTGGTTCATAGAATCATATATTTGGAAGAGACCACAAGGGCCATCTAGTCCAAGCCCCCGCCATGTGGAGATACACAATTGTTACCTGGTTGTGTGACAAGCAACACCTTGATGAAATCCCCTCTTCTACACATCCATTAAAAAGATATAGGAGCCCTCTCCAGTTTTAAGTCTGGCAACCCTACCCCTAGAAGATGTTTTAAGGTCATGGGTGGGCAAAGTGTGCCCCCCAAAGCGGGTTTTTGTGTACGCGTATGGCCCTTGACTACTCTAAGTTCCTGGCCTGCCTATGTTTCCTGCAAGCCTCCAGGAGTGGCAATTCCCTGTTTAAATAGACTGCAGGAACCCCCAACACTAAATGTCTATTCTTTAAAAAAATCAGGGATTTGTAGTTTGATGAGACCTTTAGCTTTCTCTGGTACCACAACAAGCTACAAATGCAAGGATTCATCAGATGCAAACCATTAAGTTGGGATCATAGGCTGCATCTGCACTGCAGAATGAATGCACTGTGACACAGCTTTAACTGCCATGGCTCAATGCTATGGAATCCTGGGATCTGTAGTTTTGGGAGCTGGTGCCACAATAAACTACAGCTCTCAGGATTCGATAAGATGGAACCGTGGCAATGAATTCTTTCAGTGTGGCAGCAGGCAACAAGAGACTGGAGGCCACTTCTTCTTGTGTTTCGTTGCCAACTTGGGGGCATTTTGGTCCAGTTCTCAAAGAGCTCCAAGACAGAAAACTGATGCCCAGATCCAATGGAGTTGCCCACTCCCAGCTTTAGTGGCACTGGGAATTTTACGAAAGCGCTACTGAACGACAGATGTGCCCCACATGAGGCAGTTCCTCCATAATAGGAAACATCTGGTTGCAAAATCTACCTGTCTGGCAACAGCTTCCAGTCCATCCAGAGGGGCAGGAGCACTGGTTCGGCAGCGAACATGTCCCACCATTTTGGCACGGCGGTCGGCAGACTGCAGAAACGAAAAGCCCGAGTTAATTTACTATTTTATTTATTCATTGCATTTATAGCCAGCTTGTCTCCCAAAGTGGGATCCAAGGCAGTTATACCAGAATATTTCGATACACAATTCCCCCCCCCCTTTAAAAAAGAGTGTCATTCCGCAAACATTACTAGCAAGACGACAACCAGAGCCAGCACCAGTCAAACTGGGCGCTTTTTTCAAACTTTTGATTACTTTTTAAAAAGGTGATCTCCCTTAGAAAGGCTACAGAAATACAGAGCGACCTGAGCGTGCTAAAATCAGCACATTAACAATTTTCAATACCTTTGGGTTTTCTACTTTCCTTTATATTTAAATGATGGAAGGGAAGAGAATGCTTTCAAGCAGTGTGTGTGTGTGTGTATAAACATGTTTGTATGTATATATAAAGCCATGAAACCCATATATATGTGTGTGTATAAACATGTTTGTATGTATATATACAGCCATGAAACCCATATATATATATATAT